GACAAAAAGGAAACGGTGCGGAAAAAAGAAAAAAAGGGGACGGATTGGCGTTATCGGGTGTTATTTGTAGTATTTTTCAGCGGCTGGGTGGCATTCTTTCGATTGCAAACCCTGCCTATTTTTCGCTACGCAGACGTTTCCAATGCTTATCTCCTGTCGTTCCATCAATTCGAAAGTAAAATAAAATAACGAATGCCGCAAGACAATTATGTGCTTTGAAACTCATCATTTTACAAGGCTTCTTTCACAAGAACCCAGAAATCCAACGAAAGCTATGAATTTTGTGGGAAAAGTAGAGAGTGATCAAACGTGCTAACCGGAGGGAATGACTACTTCTCAAGCAGGAATGGGCACACAGCCCAAGCTCAATATGGGTGACAAACGTTACGAACAGGCCAACAACTACCAGACCGAAGTCGGCTAAGTGATAATTGCAGATAGGAGTGACAACAGTGAATACGGGTTCCGGGTTTATTCCGTCCTCGTTTGACCAATCATGACCCTTATTACTAAGTACTTCGAAGTGCCTGCAACCCATCTGCTAGATTCCGTCTGCGAACCAGTTGCTCCGTATACGAACGCATATTTGTGCTCCCAGGTGATAGTCCGAGTTAGGGTTGGCTAAATAAAGACAGAATAAGCCCGAAACAGTACTGTATCAATCTGCCTAAAGGCTATGTCGGTCTTCCCCATCTACAAAGGCCACTATATGATAAAAGTTTATCTCTAGCCCTCGGAAAGACCGTTTGAGCCTTGAAGGAAGTATAGCCCGTTTTATGGTCAGGGGAATGGAAGTAAGTTGCATGACAATCGAGGATCAAAATATGCATACCATGTGGTGGCTCATGTACATCAGAAAGGCTGCCAACAGGAACGAATTCCACCAGGAGGGTGTAGAAGAAGAAACCGAAGAGAAAGCGATGCTGCGGGTTGCCAGAGGCGTGACATATGAGCTTGGCATCCAACAGGCTCTAAAACGATAAGCAGAATATGAGCAACGTCAGAAGACAGAAATTCCCCCACCTCAAGGCGAGGTTAACATAAACGGCAGAACATAAAAGACTTGCAGCGAGAGAGAGAGAGGATTGGGTTGCTAATTTGTAGACGAGATATTGTAAGCATTGGTAGCCCACTTTCACCTCGAGACACTCCCTTCCTGCTTAGTAAACTCGCGAATGGGTTTGTAGCTTACTGTTGAATATATCATAAGTCTGCGTCTCTATATGTAGGATAGGTTGATTTTATTTGTTTACATATATCATCACTTGAAGAAGTGATAGTTTTTCTCTCTTCAAATATCAGCGAACAGACGTTTGTGAGGTCATACAAATCCGTACAGTTTCTCATGGGTTTGCGCCATCATTCCCTGTTACGAAGTTTACCACCTTTTCCTTCATGATTTAATCATACGGTCTTCTGATCACGTCTTAATAGATAGGTAGAGTGCTACCGACAAAGACCAGAAAGACTGGACTGACCATATTTTCCGCACTAGAAAGCACACTGTCAATTAATGGTTTATTTTCGAACTTTTTTCTTATATAAGGCGTATTGAGGGAAAGAAACCAGTTAGATAAGTAAGCCACTCAAACTTTATTGAACGCATTCACAATAACTTTCAACCTTCTTCAGTTGACAGCCTTGAGTTTGAAGTCAGCGTAGTAAATGTGCCTCTTGATAGATGCCATGCTGGGGTCAATATACGCACACCATAATAGTATAGTGAAGCTCAGGTTATATATTACTCCACAACGATTCTGATTAGGCCTTAGCTCAGCGCCATGTACTATACAAAATCGCTTCGAGGTCAGTAACCAGAATGAACCGATATATAAGGCGCTATAGCGCACTATCGCTTTTTTGAGAAAATTAAAGGCTTTTGAGTGCGCCTTATAGTCTGGAAAATACGGTGTTTCTATCACCGAATATGCGGATAGAGGGCTGTAAAATTAGAAAAAGTAAAGGTACCTGAGCAAAAGCCACAGCTGTACTGACAGAGGTGATGTCCTCCAGACGCCGTTTTAGCCACTGGACGAGATCATATGAGCAGAAGGTGTGCTTTGGAAAGGCTGGCGTACCAGTTACAAATGGAATACCAAACCTAAAATAAGAGCAGATGATGATGATGAGGAGGATGAAAGCAGATGACAC